ATATCACATTTGTAGGGAATAACAATAGAGCTTTTCTCATAATTCACATTCAGCCCTGATGCATCAGAAAAAACTTTAAGAGTATTGGTGAGATTATCACAGTTATTTAGATTAGCTTTACCGAAGAGGATCAAGTCATCAGCATACATGAGGTGAGACAGTCTATGCTCTCCAATCTTAAGAGCATCAAAACTATTCTCATTGAGATTATAGTCAAGCAAGCAAGATAGGGCGTCCATCACAATGCAGAAAAGATAAGGACTGAGGGGGCATCCCTGCCTAAGCCCAGAAGTAGAAGGGAAGAAACCTTCTAAAGCACCATCAATGCATAAAGAAAACCAGACATCAGAGATACAAGCCTCAATCCATCCAATAAACTTCAAGGGGAAGCCTTTCTGTTTCATTCTTTCTAGTAGGAACTTTCTAGAAACACTATCAAAAGCTTTTTTGATATCAAGTTTCACACACATAAGCTTAAATTTATTGGTAATTCTAGTATGAAGAAGAATTTCATTTGCAAGAATTACATTATCTGTAGATATCCTCTTCTGAATAAAACCAGCTTGATTTTCTTTGATGATAAACGGCATGATAGGCTTCATACGGGCTGCTAATACTTTGGCAATGATTTTGTACGTCGTGTTACAAAGCGCAATGGGCCTGAAATTAGCAATGGATTCAGCATGACTGGTTTTAGGAATTAAGGTAATAGCAGTAGCCTTAGTGGATCGAGGAATGAAGGAGTTGTGAAAGAAACTCTTGATTGCGTTGCAAACAGTAGGACCTGTTACCACCCAGGTAGCTTTAAAGAATTCAAAATTGAATCCATCAGGCCCAGGAGACGAATCAGAAGCTCCCGAGAAGACAGCATTTTTGATTTCCAGATCAGAGAAAGGTGCAGTTAGAGCAACAGAAAACTCAGGATTAATTTCCTTCCCAGCAGGAAATTTGCTAATATCAAAATCCCCCAAGGAGGGAGAGTTAAATAGCTTGTGAAAATAAGAAATGACATCAGAATATGTATCAGATATGGAAGCAGTGGGATTAGACATGCCTAAAGCAATGGCAGTTTTTTTGTAATTTCTCCTCATACGAATCTTGGCATACAAAAATTTTAGGTCATCCTCACCATGAGTTAACCATTTAGTTTTAGCCCTCTGCTTAAGCCAAGAGAACCACATAGAAGAGGCATTATCCAGTTGAATATTGATATTTTTTAAATTCATAGAGGAGATGGCAAGATTGTCAGTGGAATCCAGGCAATTCAGAGCCGCCAATTGCTTTTCCTTAAGCATATGAAGATGATTAGCCATTACATTGGAAGAGGCCCAAGATTTACCCCTCACAATATTTTTAATTTGTTTAAGTTTCGAACAAAGATCAACAAGTAAGTTCCCAGTAGCTTTCTCAGCAAAAACATCAAAAAGGATAGACCAAAATTGATCATACTTAACCCAATAATTCTTGAACTGAAACCGATGTTTGATATGAATGGTGTCCTTGGCTTTGACAATAATAGAACAATGATCAGACCCTACTGGATTATTCACAGTATAGTAGGAATCAGGATAACAAGAAATCCAGCTGTCGTTAACCAACATTCTATCCAGTTTTATGTGAATGGGTCTATTAGTTTGCTGGTTGAACCAAGTGAACGCAGGTCCAATGGAGGCAAGCTCTTTAAGATTGGTGTCAAAAATAACACTATTAAAATCAAACAATTGATTTTGATTCAGGGTATTTCCTCCAAGTTTCTCGGAAGGGTACCTACAACAGTTATAGTCACCCATTAGAAGCCACGGGACATCTCCAGATGGATTGATACACCTCAGATCCTCCCAAAGAATTTTTCTCTCCTCCTGTGAATTAGAAGCATAGATGACAGAGAGAAGAAATGGAACACCATTGCCATAATTAACCATACCAGCAATCATTTGATTGGAAAAGAAAGTGGGCTGAAAATGCAGTCTGTCAGCACACCATTTAATCCAAATCCTTCCCGGGTTAGAGCAGTGAAAATTATTGCAACTTGATTCAGAATCAAAGATTAAATGACTATTGTAGAAACTCAAGTCAGATAGATGAGAAAGAGAAATCCTATTTTCTAGGATACAGATCATATCCAGTCGAAAGGACTGAACTAATTGCTTACAGTAAGACACCTTATTAGAAGAAGAAAATCCTCTAATATTCCAAGCCGCAATAGTCGGACAAATCATTTACGCTTAGAAGAAGGGGCGGGCGGCTTTTTGGATCCCTTTCCTTTACCTTTTTTAGAAACAGGGGATTTGATGGCTTTCTCGTTAGGATTAGAGACATGTTCCGAATAAGAAGAGCAATCATTATCTGAACCTGAAATAGTTTGATCCTCAGAAGATTGAAGAGAGGAATATTTGTTACTCATTTGAACGATAGGAGGATTTAGCACAAGATTCTGCAATAAATCAGCTTCCCCGCTGCCTTCTACATTTGGAGAATTGAGATTGGGTATAATCGAAGAGTTCGGATTTGCCTCTGTACTGGTAGAGGTGCTAGGAATAACAGAATTCAAGCCTTCATTCTGAATATTAACATTAACGTTTCCAGTAATAGCTGTATCCAAAGGAGCAGAGTATGTTTCCTTAGGCACCCACACTACCTGAGAAGGAATCAGAGCATGCTTAGAAGATGAAGCTACCTGATTAGAGATTTGAGGAGTGTTGGATGGTAATGAGTGATGCATCTCTTTCTCATGAATAAGATTGTCTGGCCTCTCCCGGTTTTGGGATACCTTACGCGAATGCCTAGAGGTACTACGCCCCCTAACATGATTATTCTGAGTTTTTTCAGAATCCTTTGAATTAGGACAAAAAGAAGGTGAGTGAGCTAAAGACCCACAGGATGTGCACGGAGAAGGTTTCCATTCGTACTGTATTTTCAGTTTAATCACTTCCCCTTCTATTGCCACAGAAACCGAATCCGGAAAAACAGAATTGATAGCCACTTGAATACATATCCTCGCGTAAGTCAGCCTGGTTTTAGCGGCTGTTAAGGAATCAACAGCAATCGGGATACCAATTTTAGAGGCAATTTTAGAAATACCTTCAGAGTTCCAGCACACTAAAGGAAGATTATGAACCCTGACCCAAATCGGAACAGAGGTGAAGTTTTCCCTAGTCGGATGAAAGTTTTTTGTCCATTTTTGAAAAAGGAAGGGTTTTCCATGAAAAAACCAAGCACCCTTCGACCAAACCATATCAAAGTCTTCGAGTAGAGAAAATTTAAACAAGAAGAACCCATCCGTAAGAGCAATGAGTTTAAAAGTACCTTTAAGCTTCCAAATACGCTTTGCAGTTTCATTTAAAGCTTCGTAATAGGGTCTCTTACCGATGGAGTAACCAACCAAGCATTGGCTCCATTCCTCAGCAGCAGGATCGGTGAAGTCTTTGTCGAAGGGAATAATCTCCTCTGGAGTTTCTATAAGCGAAACCGGGATATGAGGAGCGGCAGGTTGAGGCTCATCGACTATGTTAGACCAAAGACGATCTAAAACCCGAGGAGCAGAAGGGATGACAGGAGTAGAGGCTTGACCCAAGGGAGGGAAGGAGGATGGATCAAGCGAGACCATGGAGGCCACCGGCATAAGGCCGGTGGCGGCCAGTGAAGGGGAAGAAAACAACACAGAAGCGGAGAGGCGGCTAGGGCAACCTCAGAGCGCTCGGCATGAGCCGGCAAGAAATTGCTAGAAACCATTTAGTTTAAACTTGGCCTTTAATGTTAAATTTGCTATGCATGTTTTTAAAAGTATATAATTTAAAGCCAAATTTGGGATAGGAAGAAATTAAAAAATATATATATTGATGTGAATAAATAATTTTCTTCATGAATTTAGCTAAACAACTTCGATGAAAAGTGGGATAAGCACTTAGTTTATATGCATAATAAATTCAAATATGAATATAAGGCCATTATTAGGACTACAAACGAGCTGAGTTCTCATCAAATTGATTTTTTATAAGAATTCAGGCTTCGTTTGTGACGACTTTTTTATTGATTCTTAAAACAAAATTTTAATATAAAAATTTTTAAATCATGCTTGATATGACTCAAATTCAATTCATGATATTTGTTGGCTTTGATTATAAATTCAAAATTTGTGTTGAACCAAAGTCATACGGCATTGAGAAAGGGGTGATGCTATTGGATCCTAACAAAGAAATTGAGCAAGAGATTGATGTCCTAATGATTTTGATAAATATTTATTCTTACCGATGTGATATATTTATTTGAAACTTAACGAAGAAATCAACCCAAATATACATAAAATTATAGATCAAACCCTAATAATAACATCAAGATTTCAAAAAGCCTAAGAAAACTTTGATTTGTATGTCTATATTATAGATCAAACTATAGGGAATTCACACTCCTTTGAAGCCAAAAAAGGACTTTGGAGGTGATATATGTAAAAGTTCTAGGCAAAAGCCCTTGCCCAAGTCACTTAACTTTCAATTAAAAAGGTATTTGTGCAATGAAAATTTTGTATTATTACATTGTTTCCACCATAATCTAAAATTCCATTAAGAAGTTTAAAATCTACACTGCAAATCAACATAATCAATATTAATTAAGCAGAGGCTCAATATATTAGCCACACAATCTTAAAACCTCTATAGTTTAAAATCATTATCATTTCATCTTTCAATTGGAGCAACAAATTCCAAAAACTTTAATGTAACTAATCAAATAAAGATTTCGGCCTTCAAAAGATGGCTTTCTTATTACTTGTCAAAACAAACTTTTAATAAAAAAAATTAAAAATTTTGTATAAAAAATTGTTTTAAGAAGCAGCAAGAAAACCACTCAAACAAAGCCTTCAACTTAAACACTAATTTAAATAATTAAAATAATTAAATGATCTTTAAATAAATAGAAAACCAAATCAAGAAAAAAAAAAATGTAATCAAAAGAAACGAGAATAATCATTCTATTCCTAAGATGTGTGTGGTAAGGCCGAGACAGAGCAGAAAATTGAAGTAATTATAATAAAGTTCCAAGTTTCGAACACAACTATCAGCTCTGCATAATACACTCAAAAATACAAAAATATAGATAGTTATATTCTTTTACTTATTTTCTCCCAAACAAATTGGCCTGAGGATGGAGAGGAGATAACATGATATATGTTATAATACAATGAAAACTAAAAAAAAAAAAAATCTACTTGCTAAAAGAATCATCATAAAAATGTCCCTAAATTCATATTTATAGGCGGCAGAAGGGCATCTATGCCAGAATCTCGCTTGCAAGAATCTGGAATTTCTCCATTAAAAACTGTTTCAGGAGTTGTCTGAAATGCTGAACCAGAGTGAGAGAGAGAGAGACTGGTCACCAGACATCGCGCAGGTACCTCCCTTCCATTTGCAGATTCTTCACTAGGCTTTCAGTCTTTGAGCTATCAAGAGAACCCTGTCATGTCATCAGAGAAAACAGGCTTAGATACTTGCGCTTCTGTATCAGAGATGAACCTTAAATTAATCAATCAGTAACTTATACGAAATCGCAACTAGTTCACCAACACAACGGCTAGTTATGTTTGGTTCAATCATTCAGACTGGTCAGTTTGGTCTGGTCTGGTCCGGTTAAAACCTGGCCACTTTTGTATTGTTGATGGGATGAATTATTCTGTGCGGATGCCAAACGCCATCCAAAGTCCAATGAAAATGTGCCACGTCACCTCCTACTCGGTACCGCGGCTCGGTCCTATTTAGCACCGAGCTTGGTACTGAACGACGTGGTTGCACCTGATTCACCTCTGGATGGTAAGCTGTGTCTGGTGTCCGCACAGAATAATCTCTCTGTTGATGGCAACCTGACTGGAGGAAGAGTTTAAGGGAGTTTTTGTTTATTACCTGCTCCTGTACTATGTTATGAAGAGTACGGTGGACATCTTTAGCCATGCCTTTTGCATCACCGCAAACATAGATATAGCCACGTTTAGAAATAATGTCCCAGATTTCAGATGCCTGTTAACAAGTAATAAGTTTGTGAGAAATTCAACTAAGATGACGATTCTAATTACCAACATACAGAGAGAAGAAACATGTAGAAAAAGAAGCATTCATAGAGAAGAATTTATGCTTCACCTTTTCTAACATCTTGTGCTGGACATATTCCTTAGCAGCTCCCTCCCGAGAGAAGGCCACAATGAGCTCAGAAAGAGCTCCAGCTTCAACAAAATTGTTCAACTCTTCCTCATAGATGAAGTCCTAAAAAATCATCAAAAGTGATACTTCTTACTTCAGTTCTGATTATCATAATAATAATAGAAGATTAAAGGTTTGTTTGGGATGGCCTTTTTTTTGCTTCTTGAAGCTGCTTTTTAGTACAAAAATTTTTAATTTTGTATTAAAAAACCGTTTTAAGAAGCAGAAAGAAAGCCGTCCCAAACGAAGCCTAAATTTACTTAAGAGACATGAACTTAGCACACCATTTTGCGGTTTCTGCATCCGAAGAAGAGTGTAGCAGGTCCTAGTTGAGCACCAGTCTCCTTGAGTGCCAACCTCTCCTGCCAGAACATAACAATGTTAAATTCATAGCAGTATTGCAGATGATATTTAAATCCATGATTGATGTTCAGAACTAACCTGTAAAAATCCCCTGAAAGGCGCCAATCCTGTTCCAGGTCCAATCATGATAATTGGCACAGAACTATCAGAAGGAAGTTTGAAATTTGACTGCCTTACAAAGATAGGAGCCCAGCTACAATCTTCGCTTTGCTCTGCGGGTACTGAATTCTGAAAGTAGAAAATAAAATACAAATTAAGTAATTAAACTTCAAATAAGAATCAGAAATACAAATTAGATAATTCTATCAAATGAAAGTGATGCAACTTGTCACCAGGCAGATTTTCTTATTGCCTGTGCTAGTGGTAAGAGCTTTGGCAAGAATAGAATGCAACTGGCTTCCATGAAGCTATTTCTGTTTCCTCAAAAATGTGAACCAAATTTTTTGGTAATTTTTTCATGTTTCTGGTGTTATTAAAATAGTTCCAATACCAAGAAGTTTTTGTTTGACAAATATCCAATATCATACAAACAAGAGATGGAAAAACATAAGAAATTAATAAATCATACAAATCTACAAAAATTTAAAACCAAAAGGCAAATTAGCAAAAAGTCCAATTCCGGGTGACATTGTTTTGCAGAAGTCGTTATGGTTGTGGTGATGGCGGTGGTGGTTGGGTATTGGTAGGAAGGGGAAAGAGAGTGGTTGTGCGTCCATTAAGGGAAAAAACAAGTACACGGGGATTGAAACGAGAATTTTCCCCTATAACTGCATGCTTTACATCATTTCCTGTCTTTTAAACAAGATCAGATTGGATGATTAACTTGAAGTTATTTGCAATTGGACACTAACTTTAGGCGTATAAAATTAATAATAAATACAAAATACAAGTACAATATAGATAATTTATAGCTTAGAAGGAAAATCCTAAAATGTTGGAAAAACATGCCACATTTCATATTTTTAAGGTTCCAGATATAGTCAGTTTGCAAATACTGGCTTTTCCATGAACCATCTTTTCTAGTTAAATAAGGATGCCTAAACAAATAAACATGCGTAATTAAAAACTTTACGATAAACCTGAAAATTAAAATTACATGCAATAACAAGGCAAGCAAAATTTTACAGTATTATACCTTCATCCAAGTTGAGCAAACTCCTTTGTGAATCCTTCCTGTAGGAGTTGGTCCATGAACTAGTGCACATGTCACATGAATCCTATTGGGAAACATCCTGCAAACCATGAGGCATTAGCTTCAGTTCACCTTCACCATTATTGTAATAAAAGAAGATAAACGAAAGAGCAAGCAATATTCACCTTGGAGATGATGATATCGAATAGTATCGAGGCTGCAAACGAGGAGCTATTGCTGCAAAGAAGACACCGAGAGGTGGCTTGGCTGATGGGAACTCAGCCATAACTTCCAGAAGGCTCCTCTGACTAGCCACTATCCATTGAGAATACTCATCCTAAAAAAAAGGTAGAAGTTGTTTAAAGGCAAATATCAGAAGGAATGTCAAGCAAAAGGGCCATTGAACAACAAACCTTTCCAGCAGGAGAAGCTAGAAATCTTAATCGTTCAGCTTCATTTGGATCAGAAGTATGAGCAGCTAAAGCAGCTAAGGCAGCCTAAAAATACAATAAATAAATAATTTCTTTCAACAAAAGAAAACTGGAAAAATGTATAGGTTTAGGAAAAAACTAAAACCTTTTTAGGTGAACTCAATAGATCAGCATATCGTTTAAGTGCAATCCTCAAAGTACATGGAGATGGGAATGGAGGAGCTAAAGCGCCACCAGCAAGTGGTGTTCCATCTTCATTGTCGGCATGAATGGAGAAGTATGTATCTGAAGAATAATTTAATAAGTTTTCTGCCTCTTCCACAGTCTCAACACTATTTTCAGCAAACACGCCAACATGATCTCCAGTTTCATACCTGAAGAAAAATAAAAATCCTAAAGCTTAGCAATTAAGAGATTAAACAGTCAGTACAAACTATTTATGAAGGTATTTGTAACAAAAAAAAACTAAGAATAAACCAGAAAAAAAAAAATCTAGAAACACAGATTTACATGAAACATCCAAGACATAAAAAACATAGGCGGAGGAGAAGAAGACACTATGTCGAAAAAACACAATTACAAGTGAAGAGTTGCAGCTCGCAAAACATAACCCTGAAAAACCTAATTATAGTTATTTATATATGCAAAAAATAATAAGGGTCAATACAGCGGGGGCGGCCCAATCCCTTCGCTATCACCACAAATCCCTCAAAAAATTTCTAATTTAACTAGCACCATATATACCACACCACGAACTTTTCAGCCCAAACCCAATAGAAATCAAGTCATAAACTCTAAAAGTACTGAACTCTGTCCAGTTTAAACATATTTTTCAGTTTTCTGAGGCAATTTCACACACAAAATGAAATAAATTTAATGGTGGCCATGCTGACTAGAAAATTAAACACTTTTATAGCAGCCAAATCAAAGATGTCAAAAACAGGCTTTTTAAACCATTATGTTATATATAGTCACTGACTGTTATAAATGCAAGGAAAAAACACAAATTTAGGCTTTTTGACATTATAAAGTCAACTAAAAAGAGTTCTAACTAACAAACTATTGGCACAATGCACGACAATCTGACAGCAGTTTGGTCTATTAGCAGTATATCAGGAAAGGAGAACTTAAAGGACACAGTCAGAATAGCACGTACGCAAGTCCAGTGCCGGCTATCTCGAACTCCAAATGGATGCATGAACGATCAGAAAGTGTAGTATGAAGCTCCCTCTGTACAGCCACATTAGCTCTGCATAAAAAGAACCACGGTTAGCTTCTCCATCAACTGCAACAATACCCACCAAACAGACAATTTTCAGCATTATCTTAACTTATCCAATACCTGCTAGGATGCTGGATGTCATGAACTGCATTGCCATTTGCAAGATTCCAATTTCTTTCCCCATGTGATGACTCTACATGATCAATGAATACAACACGATATTCAGGCACTGCAGCAGTATATGTAGCTCCACTTGATGTATCATCTTCATCGCGAAGCAACAGATCTAACTCTGGCCATAACTGCTCTTTCCTGCAAGCATAAACGTTATGCAAGAGTTGAAAGTGGTGGGCAAGTGGGAAACAAGAAAATGTACTATAACCACAATTAAGCGGCTTAATCGCTCAGCACAATCATGATTATCCTACCATGCAGTGAAGTCATCCTCGATGCACTGATCATCATCTCCAAGGCCGACTGGAACAAGTCGCTTACCACCTATATGATAAATGGTGACTCACTTTACTGGAACAAGTACATTATTTGAAGATGCTAAAACGAACATATGGAGTTTCTTTCACAATATGAGTGCATTGACCAATGCTAAAAAGTACAATTACAATGACACAAGAGATTACAAAAGATTGTCCAAAGGAAAGGTTTCCATTATTGTTCGACAAGTAGGTGGATCCTAATTGCTAGCTGCTTAAAACCATTACAAAAAACATATATTGGCATCCAACAAAGAAGAAGCGCATTAGGATTCATAAATGAAATGTAGCCATAAAATCAAGATTGTTAAGTGAGAGAGAAAAGGATCAGTTGATGGGGGAATTCATGAACAACTTTCAACTTAGAAGAGGGTATTAACTTCTTAATCTGAAATATCAAACAATATGGTCGTATGATTCAAGTGATATATGAAACAATTGCATTAATCCAAAACCAAACCAGGTCAAAAATTTTGAAGGAAAACTAGAAGTACATAAATAAACTACAGTTAGTAATAAGCATTAATGTAAATCAACAAGCTCAGCCTTCATATTTATAGCTTAACTTATTTCTAACTACTCACTTCGCTAGTAAGTGAGTACAACACAGAGGAGCTAAAGCCCAATAGCCAGAGAGAAAAAACACCCTATACGTAGTTATTGTGCAATGATAACCACAACTAACAGAGTTGCAATAAATGCAGAGCAACCATTCACCTTTCCACAAAACGGATTGGATGAAATGCCCTGATGCATATGTTTCATCGTACTAGAAGATTAAAGATTATACAAAAAGTAGGATCACTTCATATTGAGAGATTATTACGTTCGGAGTCCAGACCCGAAGGACTGTTCGGTTTTGTGCACAGTTAATGTTCACCACTGCGCTTTTACTTTTTTTACGCTTCTACTGTTCACAGTCACAAAACCAAATGGTTCTCTGGTCCGGACTCCGGACTTAATAATCTCTCCTTAATATTGATGGTATCTAAAACAACCGAAAGGGGAAAACAAAATTAAGTAACCAATAGCGTATATATATACCTCCTTCAGCTAAATTCTCATCCAACACCTTAGCAACCTGCATAGTTTCAGAAAAATATATTTCATACAAAAGATGTTAGCATAAAAAATGGCGTGTAATTAAAAGAAGCAAGCAATTTAAAAGTAACCAAACTCAACCTTATTAAAATGCTCATATTGCCTATTGCCGAGCCCAAAGACCGCGTATGAGAAATTCTCTAGCCAAATACCCCTCTCTCCGCCCTAAAAGTACGACAGCTAACACATCGTTATCCATTTACAGAGAGCAATATAAAACCTGGATAAATATTCTTTAAACACAGTACACACACCTCTGTAAACCATTTATAGAACCTGGCAGCATTATCAGTCGGCTCGCCATCTCCATACCTAAAAATACAGCATAATCAGAGAAGACCAGAATACAGAATTGTGAAGAAAGCGAAAATTCCTGAGCTTTCAACTCACGTCGCCATGAAAAACAATGCTAAAGTTTCTTTCTTCAACTTCTCCTCATACTCATCATCATCAGCTGCATAATCATCCTGCCCAAAATAGAAAAATCAGAGATCATCAACACAAAACGGTCTAATACGAATCTCTAAACTTATCCACAGAACGAATCCCGAAAAGAATGAACTTTTTTACCAGATCAACAATTTTAAAAGAAGCTTTCTCGTACCGCGCCTTAGCCTCCTCCGCCAGAGCCTGGCAAAAGCAGCATCATCATTAGGGTAAGATTACTAATATTCATGACTAGCGCGACAGTAGGATGTAATCCCTAACCTTTGCGAAACCCTCGGCTGTGCCGGTCTGTGTTCCGAATAACACGGTAACCTTTTTCTTGCCGTCGTCTGCCTCCGTCTTCGGCTCTTGCTTCAACGGCGCCAGCCGCAGCGGCTCCGCTTTAGAGGCGGGCTTCTGCCCCGCTGATCGCCGCCACAACAGCAGCACCACACAGCCGACGAGCACAGCAGCTGAGGTCGCAAGTAGAGAAAGAAGCTCCCTGTTCTTAGCGATGAAGCCCTCTGCCTCAGCAGTCTCCTCGCCGCGCTTCCCGCTGAGGATCGCATACATCAGATCAAAAGCCGACAGCTTCATCGTCGCCGACTGCATCTCCTTGCCCTAGATTGCCGGCAGATCCAATTTGCTATCTCTCTCTCTCTCTGTCTCTGCCGCCCTGTGTAAAACTAGAGGAGGAGAGAGCTGTTTGGTGAGGGAGGAAAGACCGAGGAGGCGTCAAGATTTTAAAAGGGGCAGGGAGGCCGCGAACCACCACAGTTGTGTGGCCGCTAATGTTGCCAACAGTGTGGCCAGGAACGACTAGAGGTGGCGCCACATTTGGGTGAGCGATGCCACCAAGTCACCAACTCCTACCATCCTCCGTTCAACGCACCTCCAGCCTCCGCTCACCGTGTTTGATTGGAATTTTCAGTATTTTTATTTATTTATATTTTATGTCGGCTTGATTTAAGTCAGGCAAATTATAACGATTCAGTAATTTTAAGTAGGGAAGGTTCAAAATATTAGAATATTATTATTATTATTACTTATAAGGGTAAATCTATTTAAATTTTGATATTCATCAAAGACTTTATTCTACCTCTTGTAAAGTTGTAACTAATATTTTCTCGGTTGAGTTTAAGGCTTCATTTGAGATAATTTTTTACTACTTCTTAAAACAGCCTTTTTACTCATATTTGGGTGAGCAGATATTCATATTTTTAAGAAAATAATCAAATTATCAGAGATTGTGCAGAATAGTATTATAAGACTTTAATTGTGCTACAATCTTATATTTTAAAGTTCGAATTACTTTCTTTTTAATAAAACCAACATAATTTCCTAAATCCTAGTGAAATTTTTTAGAAAAAAATACATAAATGTTTAAAACTAATGTCTTTACAACATACAAAAAGTTACACATTGAAAACTTTATACCTACAAAGTTATCCTCATTTTTTGTAATAGAAATATAAATTTAATAAAAAAAATTTAGAAAATCTTTGTATTTTTTATAATTGAGATAGGCACAGTGTGACCTACCTCAATCTAGGTAACTTTTAGAAGTATATTAGATACAGAAAATAACTCGAAATGACTCAAAATAGAATTTCTCTCACTAAGACCATATTTTTCTCTAAATAGAGCGGGGCTCCCCAAACGATTGAAAGTAAATGGAATAGCGGTTTGAGATATTTAATATAATCAAATTTGCGCTGGCCACATCGCGCTTCAAAAAATCTACTGTGTAGTTGAACCCACCACGTGCCACATCGATAAATTAAATGCATGTTATTTAGAACTCAATTCCACTGGGGCACTAAAAACACTAATGAATTGGCACCCAAGGAGAAATAATTCATATTTCATAAACTTGCAAACATACCCCTGGGGATCCACTCTATAACACATGCACACTTTCACATACATGCAAAACACTCTTAAGCACATGTGGAAGGGTTCAAAATAAAGAGATTCAAGTAATTACCTCTTTTGAATCGAATCAAAATAGGTTGAACAACTTAATATTTAATCTGGATGTGTCACACAAAATTCTCAAGATAATGATATCTATCACATATCAAAAATTACACTATGAAATATCACTAAAATGAGATATATTACATTTTAATTAATTTTTGGAGAGATAAAATATGTGAAATCAAAATTATCAAATATAAAAATAGGATTCAGGTTACCTCTCATGATTAGAAGAAATCTCATAATATGCTAAATGGATGAAAATGCCCCGAATAGCTTTATCTCTCTTCTCTCATCCCCTCACCTCTCCCTCTCTTCCATTCTTCCCCGATAAGGCAGGCACAATGGAAAGGGGGAGGTTATGGACCTATGGTGACGGATGTTTAAAAGTTAATATATTAAAAAAATATCATTCAATGCCCAATGTCGCAGCACTATAGACCCAACACCACTACAATGTTATGCCCTCTAGGTAGCACCACAATGCTCCAAATCAAATTTTTCATATTTTAATTAATACATTTTATGAAATTTTGTGTTATTACACAAAATTTTCTCGATGATTTGAATTTGAACATTCCATTAGAACCACATCCTTGTTGCATATATGCTCCTTTTGACGAATACTAATCACTTGTATGCAATTATTGATTTCTTATTTAAGAGTATTCTTGGATATGCCTTAGATATAATTAACCTTAGAGACTTGCTTCTATAAGAGACCTTAGCCTCTATAATTAAAATAAATCTTATTTAGAGCTATATTTTTACAGGAGAAATCTCTATAATAGATACACTCATTCTTTCTTCTATTAATGTCCATTGACATGTATAGTATATTGATCAACTACGATCATTCCTCTAATAGAGTGTCATAGGTGTCTTTCAAAACACATATATTTCTTCACTTGGGAAGGCTTATCTCTTCATCTTTGGAGTTAGTTCTTGTATTATTTTACTTACATTCCCGCTATTGCACTACACGCACATAATTAATGTAATATTTTATGTCTTCTGGTGATATGTTCATGTTAGATAGACTTGTTAAGATTTAATTATCAAATATGAATGGATGCGTAAGTGGATTTCAAGTTAGATGATATTCTGCTTTTAACACAATAATACAAATGAATTAACATGAGGATATACATGAACTTGTGCATTATAGGGATATTGATGAGCAATCCAATTAATTTTGAGTTAGCAATGGAAGCCATGATTAATCTTTCACCATCATTATTGATCAGGTTTGAGGTTGGGACCTTTATATAGTTTGGGGGTGGTCGTTCCTTGGCAACCAATGCTATCAACAACCCCACTCTCATTAAGGCAACCAACATATGTCTGGCAAAGAGGAAGGGCTATAAATCCTATTCAAGTTAAAAGGTCCATACTAGTATAATAGGTGAGCTTCTTCAATCCAAAGGATGAAACCTCGTACTAATACTAATATTGAGAATAAATATTAGCCAAGGCCTTTTGTGTTCAGTAGGTTGTATGCACTTAAGGAGCCCGATGTTGGCTTTCATAATGCCCCAATCATCTTTTTTCCAAGCACCATTGAGGCTGAGGGCTTTACCATAATTAGGATGAGAAGAAGAGAACTCAATTGAATAATAAAAATATCACAAGAGTATATAGCAACACAAACATCAATGATTATAGAAAATAAATGTAAGGCCCACTGTACAAAAATATAAGTAATTAACATAATTTAAGAGAACTATTTATTTAATCTTGATTCAATTGATAATTATGAGTCCTAGAATGTTTAATGAATTCTTAAGTGAGCCCAAAGTATAATATTAATTTATAAAAACTCTTTTGGGAGTGTCGGAGTGCTGGGATGGGTAACACCGCAACACCTAGCTCTCTGTTTAAGATGAAAAATTGGGGAAGCTTTGTGGAGATGGGTAGAATCATTTTGGCATCGTGCTCTATATTTGGTGCATTCCATAGGAATCTAGAATTTTGATATGGGCACAACGACCCTGATGAATTTAGTGATGTAATGTTAGACCAAATTAGTAGTTTTTAAAATAATAAATATCTAAACCAATTTTCAAATTTAACTCACTCCAGCCCTTTTGCCAAAGAAGAGAATGAGAGAAAAAAAAAAAAGAGAGGAGATTTTGGAGGCCAAAGCTTAGGTTTTTCCTGTCAAGCATATTCTAAATATTGTAGAGCCCAAGGTAGACTTCTAAACTTCTATATATGATTTTAATTAAAGTGGTTTTATAAAAAATTATGAATAAATTTTTTTCTTATGATTTATAATATTTTCACCTTATAAGTTTTGGTATAATATTATATATTATATTCCTAACATTTTAATTACAATAAATTAGATTTTTATTGGTTACTTTTTTTCTACATAAATTTCTAAATATATAAATTTTTTAGGCTTTTATGGAAAATATAATAGTTATATAAAAGTATTAAAATGTTTATTTGAATAATCCTCTGAAGTTCAAAATTGAATGGGAAGAGTTCAGTGAGTATAATGTTATACAACAATGCAAATTTTTACTAGTAATTCATGCATCATCCAAGCATTGCATTGAAATTATAAACTAACTTCTTTTACATTTACGCTTGTATTATTCAGATCATGGCATTGGAGATATTTTGATAAGTGAAAATTGCACTCTCTGAAATGTTACAACGACCCTATGTGTTCTATTATGGTCCCATCTATCTTGTGTGGATATGTGAGGGATTCTAACTCCACTTGTGAAAAGCGAACGTGGGAGATTACGTTGTAATATTATATTATGATTCTAGCACCAATTGATATATAAGGATTGGGAGGTTAAAGGGAGGCATAAGTGGATGTAGAGTTATAAGCAAACATTAAAATGTATGTATTATAATCATGCATTACAATTTTAATAATTTAAGGAATCAAGTATAAATAATACTTTGAATTGGATTTAATAATTTGTGAATCTATGTATAAATTTTGATGAAATAATATGATTAAGTACAAGTGAAACTCTGATAATAAGAGTCCTGTGGCATGTATGAAGTATCTATAAATGTACTTATAAAAGTATAAATAATGACTCAGAAATCATGTATATATTGAAACCCTAGAGGAATGATGTTATGCATGTAATTTACTTATCCTTTGTAAGTTATTGAGTTTTAATTAAATTGCTATTTAATATTTTAAATGTATATTAATATCTATGATGAGTTAGAAAAAGAATTCTACTGAGCTGGTTGTGCTCATTACCTAAATTTATTTGATATTTCAAGAAAATAAAAAGGCTTGACATAGCAGAAAGGTATAGAGGCGGGTTCTTCAGGATATGATTAATCAATCCTTTTGTTGTATTATTTACCTTTTAACTTGAATATTGTATATATACATTTTAATGAAATGAAATATTATTGCACTATTGTTATTATTTTGATTTTGTAATAGTTATATTTATCATTGTTAGTAGTCGAGTTGTAATTTAAGTTTAGGCTTTCAATCCATCCACTAGATCTTAGGTCATCATAATAAATTCAATACTCAGGATAGGATAGTTGCCATGATAATGGCAAGGCAATCTATTAGGCCTTGTCCTCTACTTAGAACAACATTTGCAACATCATAGATCCTTAACAGAAGGATTAGCAATGTCATTGAATTAATTGATGAGTGAGTAAGGTTTGGTAAACAAAAAATATTTGATATCTCATATGGACATGATCTGAAAGGAGGTTCTTCATTAGCACAATAAAGTAGTTTCT